TTTGAGAAGTTGGATAACCAGGATACATCCCTTTCTAAACCCCATTATAGTTCTTTACGTCTTATCTCAGACTGTGAGCACTTTGAGGGCCAAGATTATTCTTTGAATCCCTCCACAGGATTGACCACACCGTCAGGACAGTAGATACTGAATAAATATTACTGAATGAATGAATAAATGCTGTCTGATCATTTTGACTTAGAGAATTTCTCTCTAAAGAATTTCTTGTCCCCATAGCATGTCTTCCTCTTCCAGCTGTACCTTCTGTTGCAGTTCTCATGGCAGCATCATAGAAAATTCCGGATGCTCCCTGCTCAGAGGCCATCAAGGTTGATGAGGATGGTGTAGTCCCATTGTTGTTGCACTTCTCACAATGTTTACTCTGTCAGGAAAATCTAATTAATCTGTTATGCCCCCACATTCCGCTGAGGACTAAACCAAGGGTGATTTTTCCAAGTTTCTAATCTCTTAAATTGCCTATGCCTCAAAGTTCTCCCCACCCGCATTACTGGCAACACCTTGAAGTAACTGAAAATTATGCCGGAGAGAAAACACAGTTGCATGGAAAGGCCCTTGCCTTTGGACATGTAGCAAAACAGCTCCTGATACGAAGAAACAAAATCTTTCCTGCTTCATGAACTAATAAAAGTGTGTCTCCCCTGGGTATTTTACATCATTAGCATCCTGGCTTCATGCTTCACTTTAACAAATAACTTATTTTAAAAGTTTCTCCAGGGAGAAGACAAGGAGCCAAAAATATCTTGGAAAAAACTTTACCTAGCAACTTGATAAGGCTGTTTCGTACAGTTTCTAAAATTCATGTAGCCAAGTCTTTGTGATGTTTTAGTTTCTGATTTTGATATGCACTGAAACTTCTTCAAGGCTAAGCAAGGAATGTAATGCTTTACATGTGAGTAACATTTTATGGTTTTCGTAGTACATTCATTATAAATACTATAACCATAGTCAATCACCTACTATAGCCTAGGACAGGGGTGGGCAACCCCTGGCACGCGTGCCAAACATGGCACACCAGTAACTTTTGCTGGCATGTGAAACCCTCTCTTATAATCTTCCATTTACAATTTTTTTCTTGATATCGACTTTTTTATTTTTCAGATAAATTCAGTGTAGGTGCATCTTAGATAAATAAATAATTTTACATAACAAGTTATCTTAAAGACCATAGACATGGATTGACGAGAGACGGGAAGAGCAATTTCTATGCCTCTGCCTTAACTCTCCCTGCCTTCCTAGATCCGACCAGTGTTTTGGTTTCATCCACATACGCTTGTGAATCTTTGTTCTCAGTGATGAATTTTGTAAAGTCTCATGATAGGAGTAGCCTGACGGATGAAAGTAGTAGCTCGTGCGTATCTCTGGAGGTCACGAAATATAAACCTGATGTAAAATCTCTGTCATCAGTGATGCAGCAGCAAAAGTCCCACTGATAATATCAAACGGAGTCATAAAGTTTTCTGTCGGACTATCAGTGTACATGTATACATTTAAAAATAAATGAATTTTTCATCATCATATACTGTGTTTTTGTCGCTCGAATGAATTTTATTATTTCTTCAAGGTTCTTCACATACGTACACCTTAAGAGATATCAAGTAGGCGTAACATGTTCTCAAACAATTAGGGTTGGCACGCAGAAGAATTTTGAGTCAGAGATTTTGCTGGTTTTGGCACGCACTCACAAAAAGGTTGCCCACCCCTGTCCTAGGACATATGCTAACCATTTTACATATGTACTACATGGAACTTAATCTTTGCTATAATTCTATGAAGAGATATTACAAGCCCCATTTTACTAATGAAGAAACTGAGGTTTACAGGAATTAAGTAACTTGCTCAAAGTCATACAGTTGGTAAATGGCTAAACCTGGATTTAGCTAACCTTCAAACCTACAGACTTATTTCACTCGGTGAGAATCTTAAAAAGTTAAATGAACAAGTTACTCTTTTCCTTTTATATGCACAAATCTCCTGATGTTTATGTTTGTATCCATCTTTTTCTTTCCTTCTCAAAAAAAGCCAACCTCCTCACATATTCTTTATCCCTCCCACCCTCCTGCTACATGGGCTCTGAGTTCCTGGCACCACCTTGCTGCACAACTCCAGGAAGGCTATTCACAAGGAGATCTCTGTGGGTGGCCCCTCATGAAGTAAGACTTGAGATTGCAAGTCTCGAGTTTGTGACCAGCAGCTCTGTGGACTTCCTCCCCTCTCACCTTATCAAGAGCTCCATCTCCCCTTCATCATCAATCTCTCTTTCTTAGATTATTATCATCAGCATACAAACACACTTACAATTAACCTTTGGAGAACATGGGATTAGATACTCTCCTTCACAGTCAGAAATTCAGGATAACTTTTTGAAAATATATATTTTTATTGATTTCAGAGAGGAAAGGAGAAGGAGTAGAAACATCAATGAGAGAATCATTGATCGGCTGCCTCCTGCACACCCCCTACTGGGGATCGAGCCGACAACCCAGGCATGTACCCTTGACCTGAATCGAACCTGGGGCCTTTCAGTCCGCAGGCTGATGCTCTATCCACTGAGTCAAACCAGCTAGGGACAGAATAACTTTTGACTCTAGAGTGGCTTTTCATATCCCCAGATTTAACCAACTGTAGATGGAAAACAGTATTTTGGATCCACAGGTGGGAATCTGTGTTTGGGAATACAAAAATACTCTTTTCTTTCTGAGGTGAGCTGAATGCTGTGCAAAATCCTCAGATACAGAGGACTGACTCAGTTGAAAGAAATCTGAGTATAAGTTGTCTTGGGCAATTCAAACCCATGCTGGTCAAGAGTCAACTGTACTATCCTCTGTACTTGCCTTAAAGACAAACAAAAAACCCCAAGAAACAACAACAATCAATCACTCTTGACTCAATATTCCTCTCTTGTTTAATTTTACAGCAGCAGTCAATATTTACCATCTTGAAATGTGCCATCTCTCTTTCCTTATTTTCCTAATTCTCTAGCCATGATTTCCTCTCTTTCACTAGACATTTTTTCCCCTATCCATCCCTAACTATGAAATTTCTTCAGGCCTTGATGTGAGGCTTCTTTTTTTCTCTTTCTATATTCTCTTCTTAAATTACCTCATCTATTCTGGTGATTTAAAATACTCCCAAATTTATATTTTCACCCCAGGTCTTGCCTCTGAGTCCTATTATTATACTCAATTTTCTCCTTGACAACTCTCTTGGAATGTTTTACAAGCCTGTTAGACTTGCCAACTAAAACACTAGTGTCCTTGTTCCTTCCCATCTTTCTCATCTGAGGACATGGCATTAGCCTCCCACAGTTGCTTACGCCAGAAACCAGAAAATTATCTTCAATTCCTTCCTTTCTCTTGTCACTGCATTTAATTCATCATCAAGTCCTGCCTATCATATATCCAAAATACATATCAAATAAGTTCACCTAGTCTACTGACCACCCGAGTCAAAGTCTCCAAAGCATCTCTCACTGATGCTTTCGTGACTAGCTGCTGTTCCTACTTGTTTTGCGTCACCCTCCAATCTATTCATGTAGCATCCAGGCTATTACAAAATGTAAGTTGGATCACATCACTCTCTTGCTTAAAACATTTTAGGGACTTCCATTGTGCTTCAAGCCTAGCCTCAAAGGCTCTATATAGTCTGGCCCATACCTGCTTCTCCAACTTCACCGCAAACACTGGGTCCAAGGTGTTCTTCTTTGTTCTGTTATGCAGATCAGAGTCGCCTACCGTCCAGTCTCTGGACGTGCTATTTCTTCTGCTTAGAAGCCTTCCCCACCACAACCGGGCTGCCCCCATCTTATCCTTCAGCTCTCCTCCAAAATTCTTCTTGTCAAGGTTACCATTGACCTCCACATTACTAATAGTGATGCTGACACATGTAACACCTCTTCTTTCTGTTCATGCAGCAAATTTCCACTTTCCACATTTCTGCAATACATCTTCATATCCCCAGAACCTAGCATAGTGATTGGTTTGTACTGTATGTAGTAGGTGTTGAATAAATCCCTGAAAATGAATGAAGGTACAAATTGAGACCTCTTGGGAATGATTGCTGCACACACCCCCACCAGTGTGGTGGACAGAAACTAGAAGGAACATCAAGAGACAGGGTTGAAGGTTTGGCAGTGGCAATAACTACCTGTTGTCAAAATTCTCCTGACCTTAGTTTTCTTGTATGCCCTAAGATTGAATTTTCTATTGCTGCATGAATTTCTTAGTTCTCTACCCCTAAATTCCTTCTTGTGGGTTGCAAACTCATTAAATGAGATTTAATTTTTTAAAACTTTTAATTATGAAAAAATTCAGACCTAATGAGAGTATAAACATCACTGACTTAAGCAATTACCTATTCATAGCTAATCTTGTTTTATTCCTAGCCCTACCTACTTCCCCCTCCCGTTATTTTCAAGCAAATTCTGGACATGATATCATCGTATCTGTAAATACTTCAGTATGTATGAGATATAATTATTAACCGCTAGACAGAACACCTTCTGTTCCTCAATGGCTTAAAAAGGGACGTTTTCACTGAACAGCACTTTGCTCTTTCCATAAACCAGATAACTAGCACGATGATTTTTATTTCCTGGCTTAACTAAAATGTGTAAATTCTCTGAGGGGCGTAGGTGGGAAAGAGTGAGTATTAGAGCACCTCTCAGTGTCCTGCAACCAACAAAGGGAGAATGAATGAAAACTCAAAGCGCTTTAGGTTTTTAATACAATCTTATCCTGGGAATCTAGGGTCTTGTTTGCCTCTTTTCTTCTGGTCCCTTCCTGAATTCGTTATAGGAAGATTTCAAGTTCAAAGCGATTTTTAATGTGTTTATTTCAGCCTGAGAAGACTATTACAAGCAGGACTTACAGGGGGCGGTGCCTCCGGGGACCGGGCTGCATCAAGGCCCCGCCCCGCGGGCTCTAGGCCCCGCCCCCGCGAGCTCTTTCTTTTCCTCCTCCCCTTGCCTTCCCATCCTCTTCCCAGCAGCCCCAGCGCCGGCGCCGGCGGTCCTCAAGATGGCGGCCGACAGTGAGGTGAGGGGTCGCTCCCTGCCCGTTCCTGCCTGCAAGCGCGCTCCTCTGCCTCAGCGCCTGGACGCTCACTCTCTTTTTTTCTTTTTCTCCCCCCCCCTCCCCGCAGCCCGAGTCCGAGGTGTTTGAGCTCACGGACTTCACCACTGCCTCCGAGTGGGAAAGGTGAGTGAGTCGTGTCATTGGTTCGCAACACCTTGGGCCTCGGCTGGCGTCCCCTCCGCCGCCCCCTCAGCCCTGACCGCACGTGACGTCACTGCTCTGTGAAAAGCGAGACCCCGGGGTCCCCGGTCCCCGCCTCCTCCGTCTCGGGGCAGCCGAACGCCTCTTCCGCGTCTGGCGTCTGCAAGCCGGGGCCCGACCCCGGCCGCGGAACCCCGAGACTCGGCTCTCAGACAAAGTTGTGTTTGTCCTCACACCACTTTCCTCGGACCTTGGTCGTTGCCCACACGCACAGTTTCCGTGGCTGCCACTCCCGCACTATTTCCGTGTATGTTTAACTCGTGGACATAAACAATACACTTTGCATCTGCCTTTTCCCTTCCGCGTCACGTGAGTGAACCCTCTGGGGAGGAGGCCGCCAGGCGCACTGACAGGTGGTGTCCCCCGGCCACTGTCCCTGCACTCCCACCCCGTCCTTTCCAATAGCCTTTCCAGGGTCTGCATCTGGCCGTCCGTCGGCCCCGGACCCTGCACTCCCACCCCGTCCTTTCCAATAGCCTTTCCGGGGTCTGCATCTGGCGTCGCCGGCCCGGCCCTGCA